ACACAGAAAGAGCAACAAAGATAGAGACATCGGCCTCTTAAAAATGAAAACGTATACAAAAGTTATGCTCTGTATGGGTGTGTTACAAAACACTTTGTTAAGAAGAACTTACAGAGGTCTCTTGTCTTTCTCTGTTGCCAATGCAAAATGGCCGGCAACCATTATTGGGCTACGTAGACGTGAAACAGACACGATGTCAGAATGCGGTCTCGCTAGCTCCTCTAAATCCGATGGGTCAAGGCCACAATAATTAAAGAAGCGCTCAAGTTCTGCTCCTGCTCGTGAAAAGCAGTCGCTGACGTCAGATTTTGAGCGTGTCAGGGAAGGACGCTTCCTGGAGCTTGTTGAGGAGTGGCAAGTGATGGCTGGAGATGGCGGGGACTGGAAGTCATTTTTGAGCGAAGCAATGGAGTTTGGAGTAAGCGGGGTCGGTGAGGGACAAGATAATGGTTCTGTGATTGGTTTTATGGAGAGGGGTAGAGGTGGGCTAGTTGGGGATTTGGAAGAAGGTGAGGTTTGCACAGCACAGTTTGGTGGTTTAATAGGTCCTCGGGTGGCATTTGTTTGTGTGGCATTATGGAGCCTTTTGAAATCAATCACCTGCTGATTTGGTTGTGTGTACGGTCTAAGAAAGCGCAGAAGTTGTATTGGGACCTGAGGTGTGGTCTGTTGCACCGGTGGCCGGTTCTGTAGCTGTGGTCTACCGGCCATCCTCATCTGAGGTAACTGCGGCCTGACGTCGACTCTCCGCACTGTCATGGTAGGACATCCGCTCGCCCCTAAAGCTTCTGGAGCTTTTCCTTGACTTGCTGAAGTCAAGCCCAGAGAAGGTTCTTCCACTGTTGGAGAGGTGGCTTTGCATGGATCTGTAACATCTTTCCCTTTGTTGTTGGGCTGTGTAGATGCAACTGGAACGGTGGCATCGCTGACTCCATCAATCAGCTTGCAAAGATGTTCCAGGTTAAGAGGTGGCGTCTCAGACTTTGTAGGTCTTGCAGGGATCTTCCTTGATGGCTGTTGAGCACCTTGTCCACTTTGGCTGTTGTTGGATGGACAAATAACTGGCTGCTGCTTCTTCAAAGCCACCTGTTGGCTCTTGACGTACTTGGCCTTGTCTGCTTCCAAACGTTCCACCGCACTTGGTTTGCGTATGCCTGGAGATGATTTGACTGGACAACTGGACTCTAGGTTGCGACTTGGAGTGCCAGGAGTTACAGCCAGCCTTATTATTCTCCGTGAAGATGGCTGGAGAGTGCCAGTTGACATCCTTGGAAATGAAAAACTTTAGCTATTTCTCTTTTTTTTCTCCACTTGTTTGCTTGGAAGTAGATGAATGGACTTACAGGCAGAGTATACTTCCACATTAATGCATTGGAGACACTGGATTCACGTTTTAATACCTGGGGGAACAGACATAATTATGACAATCAGACAATTGCAGTTAGACAGTTTACTCTTCTATGCACTCACACTTTTAAAGACTTTGCTTTAATAAGTAGATTGTTTTTTTTCATTTGCTGAAGAAAATATGAGTGGTGCTTGCCTGCGCAAGTCACCAACCACAATGTTAGGGCGTTGTTTGTCGGTGGTTGCCAGTGCACTGCAATGAGTGTTGGGGTTTTTAGAATGTGGCTGGGTTTGTTGTGGCTAAGTGTTGCTTAAGAAGATATTTTGAAGAATGTGGGTAACCAAACAGTTTCTGGTCCTCATCAATTTCCATATTTTTTCTACATTCTTCAAAATATCTTCTTTCGTGCTCAGCAGAAAAAAGAAAGTCATACAGGTTTGGAACAACATGAGGTTGCATGAATGATGACAGAATTTTCATTTTTTGGTTAACAATCCCTGTTGTGCACCACAGTTTCGGGGCCCAAATGCTCTTTCCGATAAGTGCTAATATACACCCCACCGTGTGCTGTAATACTACTGAAAAATCATGGTCCTACGCTTTTTATCTCTATAGCGAAATATCATTTGTCCAGACAGTGATTTTTTTGTCTGGGATGATGTGAGTCCAAAGAATGTACACCAAGAGTTTTCAAACTCTTACCTTAAAGAAATTGTTCACCCAAAAATTAAAATTACCCCTTGACCCTCAGGCCATCCTAGGTGTATATGACTTTATTCTTTCAGAAGAATACTATCGGAGTTATACTAAAAATGTCCGTGCTCATCCAAGCTTTATAATGGCAGTGAATGGATGTTGATATCCAATAGTCCAATTGAAGCCCAAAAAAGTGCATCCATCATAAAAAGTGCTTTACACGGCTCCGGGGAGTTAATAAAGGCCTCCTGAAGCGACTCAATGCGTTTGTGTAAGAAAAATATCCATATTTAAAACTTTATAAACCGCAATGTCTAGCTTCTGCTAACTGTCTTACGCACATTCACGAGAGAGTGGTGTTCCAGCAGATGATGTAGGACCTAGCGTAATCTCTGGTGAGAAGTAACGAAACGCAAACACCGGTCATGAATTAGAAGTACAAAACGAGGATTTGTACATTTCGATGTAAGCCAAGAGGGGACTGGTTTTCCTTTGCTAAACAAGGGAAACTTTGCTTCTTTGCTCCTGTAAACGAAACACTACACCTACGTCATCAGTGAATGAATGTGCATACGACAGTTAGTGGAAGCAAGAGATTACAGTTTATGAAGTTTTAAATATAGATATTTTTCTTAAACAAACGCATTGTTTCAGAAGGCCTTTATTAACCCCCCGAAGACATGTGGAGCACTTTTTATGATGGATGGATGCACTTTTTTGGACTTCAAAATCTCAACAGCCATCCACTGCCATTATAAAGCTTGGAAGAACCAGGACATAGCTTAATATAACTCTGATTGTATTTGTCTGAAAGACGAAAGACATATACACCTAGAATGGCTTGAGGGTGAGTAAATCATGGGGTAATGTAAACTTTAAAGGTGTGCAGTATATGAATAGTGGTCATAAACAGCTGTTGAGATACTACCCTGACTTGAAACGGACTAAAGTTTTGGAACGAGATACAGGATATGATACGTCACAAGCTGATAAGCAATTGATACGTCATAAGCAGATAAGCGCTTTTCCAGCATATGGCTGACAAGAAACAGCATCAATAGCATTCCAGTAAAATGCAATTTAGTACGGTATGATTGTAAACTGTTTCACACCCAGATTTCACAGGCCTTTCCTCAAATAAGTCTATGGGATTTTCATTCAGCAGTTTCATTGTCTGCTATTTACAATTATTTTAATTGCTTACTCGCATCAACAAGCTGCACAATTTGAGTCTTTCATGACCATAACACAAATAGTACAGGACATGTTATGCTTCCAAAAAAAATAAACACTTGGGGTTAGAGGTTTGTTCCTGATCCCGAAGTATGAGCATTAACAATAGTGATACTTGCTTTAGCAAACACCACTTATGAGCTCTTTAGGCTGTTGATGTATGTTGCAGGATGGCTTGAAACCATTATGAAGCCATCCTCAGAAGACTCCATTAGCAGTGGCTAAAAGGCTACAACTTTCTTCTAGAATATTGATGAAACTAACATTCACATAATTGACTTTTAAAGGAATTGATCATTGAACACTTCCTAAAATAACTGTAAATCACACTAAAAGCTTATTTCAGTGCCCTTCCATTTAGCAAAGCAGCATGACTGATATGAAACATTTGTCAAAGATTGTGACAATTACATGCCCACTTAGGAATGTGACCTTACCGAGAAATGCGACACTAAAGTCACTGGTTAACTTTTTGATGTTTAATACAGGATTTTGGTCCAGTGTTGTTAAGAAATGACAGCTGTGCTGCTTTTATCAATGGACTTAAGATACTTTCACTTAGCAAAGTGCGACCAATGATATACCAGCTCATTGTCTAAATGTTTATCATTCCTTTAACGTAACAGCCAGCAATCCACCTAAGGTTAAAGTGCGCCGTGTACTATCCTTTCCTGTCTTTTACAATACGAACATTATTCCATCCTTTCTGCTCTCCAGTTGTCTCC